GGAACCCAGGAGCTCCCAGCCAGGCTCCCTCTACCACTGCCCATCCCCGGCCAGCTGACAGGTGCTTGTGGGCCCACCCTGACCGGGAACACGCACACACATGCAGGCTCCCATTCACTCCGCACCCTCTAGACACACCCATTGTGCTTCTGGGAATGGTGAGACTATTTGTACAAGGTGGCAGCTGTACTCCTGACCAGAGAATGTGGCTCAAGTTTAAAGAGTGAAGATGAGTAACTACCACAATCCCAGCCAGCACGGGATATTGTCCTGCAGCCTTCAGGAGGCTGAGCAGAGACGGGTGGTGGGGGCGGGCAGGGGAGGCCAGAGGCAAAGGGGAGTTAGCAGGCAGGACGATGGAGTTAGTAACCCAGACTGGCAATCCACGTGATCCCCCTTTATTCCCGACAGCCCAGCCTGCATCCAGGAGCTGGGGAGGGGAGGGGTGGTCAGGGCTGGGGCCATCTGCAGGAAGTGGGGGTTGGGTGGATGCATCTAGGCTTCTCGTCTCAGTTTAAGGACAGTAACCTGCACCTCAGCTCTCACAGCACCCATTCTCTGAGTGGGCCCCTGAGGTCCCTCTGTGTTTGGGGTGGGCCCTGAGGCTAGACTGTTCCCTCCACACACTCCAATGTCCAATGAGCCCTGCTCACTTCTGTCCCACACCCTCAAGAGCCCCTGGTGAGACATACCACCCCACCTCCTCCCAGAAACACGTGTGAGAAGCCTCCTGCCCCAAGTCCAGCCTCTACCCTGTAGATTTCCAGGGCCAGGGGGATCTCGAGGCAGGTGCCAACAGTATGCGAAGCAGAAACCCCACAGGATCCACCACTCCTCCCTCCACCAAGCCCTGGTCTGGAGCCCATGGCCCCTCCTTTCTGTCACAGTCCTCCAAATTCAGCCTGGGTCAGCCTCCAGCCCTGTCCACCCCCTGCCGCCGGTCTAGAGCCAGCCGGAGGGCCTGCCTCACAGTCTCCACATTGTTCAGAACATTGTATCGACTCAGGGCCACCAGCCGCTCGAACTCCTGGGGCTCATAGGTGAAGTTCATCATGCCATAGGGGGTGTCTGGCCCGTTGATGACAAAGTTCCCACAGGCCTTCTCCTCAGCTGTTTGTCGCTCCACACCTGTGGGGAGAAGTGGAGGGGGCCAGGGTAGGGCACTCTGGCTAGGAGCTGCGAGCCAAGAAGCCCACCTTCCCAAGGACATCTGGCTGGTTCCACGGGTTCTGCTTGGGCCCACATCTCAGCTGTCTCGCCCACCAGGAGGAGCCGGGCCAGTGCCAATGCTGAGCCCAGGGAGCAGTAGCCAGCCAGGAGGCACACTTCGGTAAACTGTCCAGGGGACCCAGCACAAAACAGCGCCCCATCACCACCCCAGGGCTCACCTGGGGCCAGGTGTGTGCGGAAAGTCTGGTTGACCAGCGGGAAGTGCAGCACGATGGGTGAGCGCGGGTCCTCGGCCTCAGCAAACAGGTAGCACTCGCGGGGTTCCTTCAAGTCCTCAGGGAGCACCTCAATCCTGGGGAAGGAGATGCCGCGGTCCAAGCAGTATTTCTCTGTCATCTGCAAGACCTGAGCAGGGACCAGACCTTTGAGCTTCTGACCCTGCCTGACCCCGCCTGGACTCATGCAGGCCCAGGCTTCACTGCCAGCTCTGCCTCCCCCCAGCTGAGCAACTTCAGTCAACACGAACAGGGCCAACAGGTGGGTGGTGGAACCTCCTCATCACCCCACAAGGTTTGAGGGAGCTGCTGGTAGAGACTCCATGAGGGGACCCTGATGATTCTGTTGTTACTATAGTGACGAAGGGACAGCAGCCCTAGACCCAGACCCAGACAGGAGCAAGGAATTCTATCAGGAACCGCGGGGCCCAGAACAGGAGTGAGACTCCTGGGGACTCTCTTTGGTGTCTCTCCTGACTCTCACTCTCTCCCGTAAGCTCAGCAATCCTCCTCCTTCAGCTGCGGAGACCAGCACTGCTAACAATGTCCACAAGGCACCTCGCCTGCAGATTAGAACCCAGGCTCTCCTGGAAGGGCGACCCCCAACCGCGCAGCCGGCCGCCTCAGCAAAGGCCCTCTCCGCACCTTACCTCAAAGGGGGCGTCCAGGGAGCAGTCGAAGGACAGAACAAGGTCCACAGCTCTCTGTGGCAGCAGGCTCAGTGGGAACGGAGAGTTGATGGCAAAGCCTGCATCCACCAGGTACAGGTAGTCCCTCATGGGAGTGAGCTGGTTAGGCAAGGCGTCCAGGTGCGTGTCTGCACAGAGAAATGCTTGCTGTTTGCAACAACCCTCTTCTCCTCGCGCTGGAAATGCCTCTCCCAGTAGAGCTCTCTCCTCCTCCCTTTCTCTCTGACAGCCACCGGGTCTCCCACCCTAGCGCCCCCACCACCTGGCCCTGCCTTCCAGCACAGCCATCACAGCCCTTCTCCAGCCAGCCCCTGGGCAGCAGGACCCCTCCCACCCCCCATGTCAAAGGGCAGCACTGACACAAGTGAGTCAGAGGCACAGACAGCAGGGGAGACCTCCCCCCAGAGCGGCAGACACCTTTCCAGGCCACGAACTCCCTGCCAGCCACATAGTCCTTGTGCATGCAGAGGCCCCGGGTAAAGTTCAAGTTCTTGGCGGAGGTAAAGCGGGAGGTGAATATGTCCAGCACAGCCTGGGAGAAGGGCCCCAGGGGGGTGAAGAGCCTTGTTCGCAGCCGCGCAGGATCGTGTAGCTGGAGATTCTGGCAGTCGTCTAGGTGAGGGTGGGACAGTGAACCACAGCGAGAAGTGGTGCCCTCCTTTGTCCAGCAGCCCATGTGGCTCAGAGGAGCCCTCTCCGGCTCCCCCTACCCCTGCCCTGACATCTCTCCTCCTCCTCCATCCCACATCCCTGGCCTCTGACCACTGCTTCCCAGAATTCTTTTCAAATGACATTTTCTTTCATGTTCCCCACATTTTGAAAGTTACCTATGGCATTGCCTGTGCCAAACAGTATCCCCTGCCCTTGAAGTTGCATATACAACTTCCAACCAGAATTTCACCCATTAAACACCTGCTGAGAAGTTACTATGCACTGTGCCAGGCACAAGGGATACAGAGGTGAGGAGGGCCCGGCCCAGGCCCACTGGGCTCACAGCCTACTTAGAGGAGAGTCACATACAGAGATAATAAATGGTAACAGTGCCCTGAGGTGAGGACAACACGGGATGTGTGTGCGGTTCTATGGGACCTTGGTGGTCAGACCCTTGACTGGCCTGGAGGGTTGGACCAGAACACAGATGTCCCCTGACAGAATGATGTCTGTGCTGAATGAACTTCAAGAATTCAGCAAAAGTTACCCAGGGGAAAAAGGTGGGAAAGGTACTCTACAGAGCGGGGAGCCCATGGGCCACTTAAGGAGCAGGCTGAAGGGGAGCACTAAGGTGGGCGGACACAGTATCCACCAGACACCCACTGGCCCTAGTCTGAGTTGACTTAATTGGAGCCCAAGTAGAGAATTAAAGGTGGATGCACTTATCACAGAGCACTTACAACTCCCACTAGGTCTTCTGACCTGCACCCTCCATCATCAAACCCTCCAACCACAGGGCCTCTCTGCAGATCTCTGGGCATCCAGAGACCCTAAGCTAGAACTCATTTTCTCAAGACTTCTCTGAACCCAATGGGACATCCAAGTCCTTCATCGTCCCCTCCTTCCTCCATGCCTCTGCCAGGACCTTATTGCTGGAAAGAGGTGTTGGGGAAGGGGAAGGGAGCAGGGTCTCTGACCTCACCTGTGATGTTTATGCTGCCTCTGCGCCAGTTGAGGAAGCCAAAGCCCCAGCCAGCGGTCTTCAGGAAGATCTCATCTAGGCTGGCGGCAAAGGCGCTGCCCCACATACCTAGGGAGAAAGGCAAGGCCCCTAGCCCTCACACCTCCTCCACCCCATATCAGGGCCTGGCCCGGCCCCTGCCCTGTCCCCAGCCCTCCAGCCTAGACTCACCCTGCAGGTAGCAGATCCGGGGCTCCGGCCAGTGCTGCAGCAGTTGCCCCATGAAGAACTCTGAGCCAAAGAGCTCAGTGGGAACGTAAGCACCATACTTGGGGAAGCCGACCTCATAGGGGGTGAACTCGCACCACTCTGGGGGCCCAAAGTGAAGGGAATGTCACCAGGGGCTTCCCACCAGGACCTCGTGTTTGCCCCCAGCCCTCGGGCTTGAGCAGGAGTCTGCCTGGACAAGAGCAGGAGGCAGCAAGCACCCTGTGCTCCAAGGTTCCCACTTGACAGCCCTGGCCTCCTACACCCTCCCACCAACCATCGCCTCCACCTCCTTCCTAGGTCCCCACACCCAGGCACCTGCAAAGTCTTCCCCACTGATGTTGGTGTGGACATTGATGCTGGCGTAGATGGGATAAGGGTTCTGGCCCTGGCTGATCGCCTCCTGCTGGTCAGACAGCTTGGCAGGATTTTCCTGGTCAGGAAAGAAGGGAGGCCATTTGGCCTTTTGGGAGGTCCAGCACCTGTGGGATGTGGCCTGCCCATGAGATTTTGTTGCTAAGGCCAGCACTCTAGACACACCTGGCTAAGGGACAGGCTTTAGGCTGCAGCAGAGGTGAAGCCACTGTGGGGTTTGTGCAATTTCAGACACACTGGGAACACCCTCCCCGCTTCCCTCCCTTTCAAGAAAGCATATCAGAACCCAAGGGGTCAGAGTGACATTTTTAAAGGAATAACCGAAAAGCCAGTCTACTTTCTTAAAAAAATTAATCACTAGAAAACATGTCTTCTTTTCTTAGAAATGAGAAATCATAGCCACACAGCAGTGGGCCAGGCCCCACAGGCTCCCAGGGCTGAGAACCTCACTCAGCTCTGAATCTCCCAGCTAATGCTGGGCCTGCAGTTCCAGTAGAAACCACCAGGTGGCGTGAATCGTGCCCACTTGGCCAATGCGCGGGAGTGGCCTTCTGCCTTAACTACAGGTTAGAAGCATTTGGGACACTTTCAAAACATACCTGTACTAGAGCTTAACCCCTGACCAACCAAAATCAGTAACTCGAAGTGAGGCCCAGGCACGGGTGTTTTTGGAAATTCTAATACGCAGACAGACCTGAGAGCTGAAGACCGGCCTCTCCCTCCCCAGGGGTTAGGAGCCAGGGAAGATGAAGCATCAGCCCATCCAGAGATCTCACCCATTCCCCTCAGAGAGCTCAGACCTGACGGACAGCTTTGCGCATCTCAGACCTTAGCCTTTTGGCTAAAGCAGGACTAAGTGCTGGTGGGGAAGGGTGAAAAGGAGCCATGTTTATCTACTACCTGCTCTTCTCTTACCTCCTGGTACAAGAAATATTCAATGAGAAGGCCCCAGAGGTCGATGAGCGAAACGCTTTGCCCACTGCTTTCCCGGATTCCCAGTTCCTGGGCATAATACTGTAGGCGCTCCGTGGACATTGCCCCCATCTTACTGCTGCAGACCCGAGCCTTGGCACGTTCAGTGGGGCCCTGCAAGGGCACCTGGGACCAGGCTGGGTCCTTATAGAGTGTGGAGATGCACCTGGGCCCAGACAGAATTAGGGACAGGGGAGCCCGGCAAGGGGAGAGAGGGATGAAGGTGTCTGTGGGTGCCCTCTCCTCCCCCATCACTTGAACCCACTGGCCCGCACCACCCACTCAGGAGGCCCTGGGGATTCAGCCCCATCCTGCCCCTCCCCACCTGATCACCAGGTCACACCTCTGACCCTTCAGGGCTCTCTTTTATTCTGCCCTGCCCCACCTCACTTACCAGGTGGACCCAGAGACACCGCTCAGATAGGTCACAGTGTCCAGGAGGCCAAGCTCCTGTAGTCCTGCCAGGCTGCCATACAGGGAAGACATGGCTCTGGTTCCACCTCCTGAACCCAGCACAGCCACCACAGGCACCTGGGCACAATAATCATGATGACAACATCTATCGCCACTGTCATTTGTATATTACTACTTATCACTTCAGACATGGATCTAAGAGCCTTCCATGTATTATCTCATTGAATCCTCAAAGCAACCCATTGACATCCCCATTTCACAGATAAGGAAACTGAGGAACAGGAAGGTTAGATAATGTGCTCACCATCATGCAGTTAGTAAGTGATTGACTATCAAACTGAGACAGGATGGCCTCAGAGATGGCTCTTAACCGTGATACCAGGAAATTATGTGCCTGGGAGGCATACTAGATTTACCCAAAACAGTTAAAGCAGAGTTTCTCAACCTTGGCATTACTGGTATTTTGGACCAGATAACTCCTTGTTGTGAGGAACTATCCTGTGTTCCATAGGATGATTAGCAGCATCCCTGGTCTTCACTCAGAAGATGCCAGTAGCATCCCTCTCCCCTCCCCCAGTTGTGACAATGTCTCTAGATATTGACACATGTTCTGTAGGTGGATAGGAGGATAAAATTGCCTCCAGCTGAGAACCACAGAACCGAAGTGACAGAAACCAGGATCGGAGGTGCTTGGTAGGACCAGACTGAAGCTTCTTGGCTGCTCAGCTTTTCCACAAAGGTTTGGCTCATTCCATGCTAGACTGTTGGTTCCTTTCCCTGTCATGCCTTTCTTCTCCTATCTTGAAAAAAATGCTCCCTGGCCACTGCCCAGCAAGGGCATTGTCCCTTAAGAGGGCTGGAGGAGACAGAATTCCTTGTAGGCAGGTCTGTGCCCTCTCTATCCTCCCCCGACAGAGTGGAGACTGGGCACAGAGCAGGCATTACCAAACCAACAGTCTAGGCTCACTCAGCTTGTCAGCGCTGGGCACAGGTTCTGTCTCATGAGTGCACTTGCAGCCAGGAGGAAGCCACCAGCTTGTTCCCGATTTCCCAGAGGTCTCTCCCTTAGCACTGCCTTTCCTCCTGCCTCCTAGCCACAGGCTCCGATGGAGCCTCCACTTCCAAATTCCTTTGTCTATTGTTATGGCCTGAATTATGTTCCCCCCACCCCAAATCCATGTGTTGAAGCCCCGATGTCACTGTATTTGGAGAAAGGCCTCTAAGGAAGTAATACA